CACGACTCATCATCGTGGTTAGCGAGACCATACACTTTAGAAACACATTCCTCAAGTTAGAAACTATAGAAATGATCCCTGAAAGTATAGTCTTAGTGTGCTAATATCAGAAAACTGCATCTGCTTTTCTGTGAAGTCTTCATCACTCAGGGTTCCTCTCTGACTTTCAATAAGCTCCGCCTGTTATCATGATTTGGCCAATCATCTGTGTTTATGCAAATAATACTGTGTAGCACATCCAATCACTGGATACCTCTAACAATACTGATGGCAAACATACAAGAGAGAACGGCCAGACTAACAGATCAACTTTATAAAAGTTTTTAGGGAACATGACAACAAAAGTGTGATGGTTGCGACATTCAGTTGAAGCTGAAAAGATCCAAAAGGCCTGCCTCTCACTCACTGACAAATTAGACAGATTGTGTAAGTGTCCCTCAAACATGAAGTACAAAAAATATAAGGTGGTTTAGCAATCTGAGTACATAAATCGACTGTGCTAACTTGCAGGTTCCTTCACATACAGACAGATTATTAGACAACAGAGAGACACAGCTGCCCCGACTACTGATACTTTTAACTTATAAAGTTGGCTCATGATTTATGAAGTAAGTGCATCATGAATGTGTTTATTATGAATTCTTTAACTGTAGTATAGTAAGCGTAACTAAACATAAAAAGTATAACTACACATCTTTTACACATACATGTTCTGAAATTGTTTTTGTAGACCTGGAATTTAAATGTGCTTTTTTTTTTTGTTCTATGTACAATAAACAAACACATGACTGGACAAAAAGGTTTGATTCAGACCTGTTCTCACTTCATGTTTGAGGTTTTTTTTTTAACTTCCAATAAAAAAATTATTTCACATGTTTCAGTGGGCTGAATCTATTACTTGAATATCTCAGTAAAGCCTGCAGGTAATCAGTCTGCTAAAGTAGAACTGGGTATTCTTTTATTATCAGTACGGATTCAGCTAGTGTGGTCTGGCTCGATGCTGAAGGCCTTGGATTTGTCCTCCTCCTTGTGTAATTTGTTCTTAATTTGTTTTGGGGGGAATGTTTTTGTTTGTTTGTTTGTTTGTTTTTTCTGTTGTCTATATAAATTCAGTTTTGTTGCCGGAATATATTTTCCTTCCTACACAAAATGCAGCAGTGTCGAAATATCTGTAAGAAAGATTATTGGGATCTATTCAGTCTACATACAAAGTAGGTGACAATAAAATCCATAAAACTCATTGTTTATCTCAAAAATGACATGACAATCATGTGTTGATAATAATTATTGATACTTTGGTATGATAAGAAGCCCTGTTTTATATTTTAAAAGTACTGGCTGTACGGTTGTTTCACAAACTGGTGTTAACAAAAAGAATGAAGACAACACTTGTATGTAATGTCTGTTGCTGCCACAGGAAAC